AAGATAAAGAACACTGCAACAGCTGGGTGAACAGCTGGTGATAGAATATAAACTTTTGGTCACATCCTGCATTGCAACCCAAGACACCTGCCCTGGTGCTGACAGCCAAGGGCAGTCAAGGAAAGTAAAATATAGAGCACATTAATCCTGTAGCACTGGAATCACCAGGGCAGGGCCTTCTGGGGACACCCTGTCCTGGCATGGCCCCCGGCGTGGCTGGGGGGGTGGTTTGTTTAGCCTGGGTCAGGTTCTTTCCACCAGGTTCTTTTTTCATCTGTCCATGCATCCATCTGTCCATCTGTCCATCCCACCATCCGACTGGTTGAGCTGGCAAGGGTGCACAGTGGGAGGCAGGATATTGTGTCAGAGGATTGACTGAGCTTTTTTTCCTAAAAAGTGCTGTGCCAAGATCATCATTTCAGATTCTCACGCTTGGTATTTTCTACCTTTTTATAAAATATAAACACATACAGTCACTGCTACGTTCCCTCCTCGTGTGAAGTTGTCCAGTGGAGAAAGTGAAGCAGGAATACAGGGAATGCTGCTGCAATCTGCAAGTGCCAGTCTAATAAATTACTGGGGAGACCATGCCAAAGGGGCAGGTGTGCTAAAGGGAGACCAAACGTGGTTCAGGGGAGCCACACTCAGACTGGCAGCTGCCCACCAGGCCCCACACCTGTACAGAGATGCACTGGTTGCAGGGATGCTGCTGTTCCATGGCTACCTTCCTCCACACAAAGCTGTAGTGATAGGACAAGGAGCAATGGGTTAAACTGAAAGAGGAGAAATTTAGGCAGATATAAGGAAAAAATTCTTCCCTCTGGGAGTGGGGAGGCCCTGGCAAAGGTGGCCCAGAGCAGCTGTGGCTGCTCCGTCCCTGGAAGTGTCCAAGGCCAGGTTGGACAGGGCTTGGAGCACCCTGGGATAGTGGAAGGTGTCCCTGCCATGGCAGGGGGTTGGAATGAGATGAGCTTTGAGGTCCTTTGCAGCCCAAACCGTTCTGTGAAGCTGCAGCACCAGGGCAGGTGCTCTTTGATATCCTCTGTTGACTGGGGGTTGCATCCTGGTTTGAGCTCTGCACTGTGGGGGAAGCTCTGCAGAAACCTGGCCCTGCCTTGTGCCTCCCCACAAAGCCTCAGGCATGTGCTGTGTTAGAAATAACTATTGATAATTACGTTTAAAACTTTCATCTCCTTCTTTACATCTTCCCAGTGAACTTAATGATGGAAGCAGTTGCCAGATGTTAATTATTATCATTATCAGCTCCTAGCATTTACTGTACAAAGCAGCGCTTTTCCTGGTCTCAGCACTCTGTGATTATAGAAAGGCAGGTTCATTAAAGCAGCCCGCAAATGTTAGTGTTGTCATTATCCAATTAACGTTCCTCTTCACAGGATGAATATAAACCTGACAAAGACCTCTCTGAAGTGGATCTGAAAAATGCCATCCGTGTGCACCACGCCTTAGCCACAAAAGCCTCTGACTACAGCAAGAAGTCCAACGTGCTCAAGCTGAAGACAGCTGACTGGAGAGTCTTCCTCTTCCAGGCCCCGTGAGTCCCAGCCCTCCCTGCAGTGCCTGGATGGGCAGCCTGACCTCCAGCCACTGCCAGACTCCCTCTGCCCTGCCCAGGTCATGGGGGGCACACCTGGGGGGAGGGAGGGGCTGAGGGTCGTTTCTGCAGGGCTGTGCAAAGGATTTGGTCGTGGGTCACAGTTTCTTGGTAGCTTTGTGCCAGTCCTTGGGGCCCTTCCCAGCTGTCACCATGCAGGATGGGCTGGGATGTGCGGGGCTGAGTGAAAGTTAATTTAGCTCTTGCTAACTTCTGTTGATGTATTCTGGAAGGGAGGACATCTGTGTGCTGCAGGTGATGATTCCCCTTGTCAGTTTTTGATGGAGAAACTGTCTAAACCTCCTTAAAGCAGTCTCCCCAGCCAGGGTTGATGTTTTATCTTAGTCCATTGCTGAGGAATGTTATGGTGTTAATAAGTGTCAAGTGTGATGAAGTCAACTTCTGTCTTGTCTTCTGCTGGGAGAGGTGATGCTGTCTGTAGGTTGGGCTGGGGTGCTAAGGTCAAGCTAAAGCCTGGCATCTGAATTTGTGCAGCAAACACCCACTTGAAGGCCTGGGGGAGCAGTGTCTGGACAGATTTGATTAAGGACCCTGGGCAGTGTCTCATACATGACATAAATGACATCCTGCTCTGTGGCTCTCAGTCTCCTAAGAGCAGCACATCCTTGGCCCTGGCCTCTCCACAGCTCCTCAGGAATACAACCAGAGCTGATGAGGAAGGCAGGAGTGCCCAGGCTTTGAGAGGCAGGCAGCAGCTCTGAAATCATCAGGGCACTGTAGAGAAGCCAGCTGGACAGCGTTTCCCTCTGTTCATAACCTGGCACACAAGTGGCATCAAAGCAAGGCCACTGGTGGCCCTCCTGAGCATGGGTGGCTCTGGGGCTGTTGTCAGCTGCTGTCTGGCCCTGGTTCAGGAGCATTTACAGACTCCCTCTCTCCTCTCCCCTCCTCCTTAACAGAAGTAAGGAAGAAATGCTCTCCTGGATCCTGAGAATCAACCTTGTTGCTGCCATTTTCTCTGCCCCAGCCTTCCCAGCTGCAATCTGCTCCATGAAGAAGTTCTGCCGCCCGCTCCTGCCTTCGTCCATGACCAAGCTGTGCCAGGTAAAGTGTGACAGAAGGAGTGGTGGAGGGGTGCCCAGTGCTCTGCAAGCCCTTCAGCTCAGGGTGAGCCCATCTGCAGGCCCCCCTGTCCCTGCCTGATGGACACACTCAGGTGCTCAGTGCAGGAACAGGGGAGTGGAGTGGGCAGCTTGGACTGATGTGGAAAATCCTGGCATCTGGTCAGCGTTTCTTTTTCCACGGCTATAAACAGCCCTATGCACTCACCTGCCTGTTGGTCCTGGCTTGTTTATTGCTCTTTGCCCATCACATCCCAGCACCTTCCTGTTGCCAGAGTGGAAACAGCAGAACAGCTCCAGAGTTGATGCCAGAGAGCCCAACAGCCCAGGTTTGGTTTATATCATGGCACCTTCTTGTTTCTGGAGCCCAAAAACTACAGACAAAAGGGATGGCTGAGTTCAGTCAGTAGGGAAGGGTTTCTGGAAACAAGAGGGCACAGTGCACCGGGCTCAGCTCCCCAGGAGCAGCTGCCATCCAAAGAGCAGCTTTTGTTTCCATGTCCAGGGAAGGCCAAATGTGCCTTAGCACTTCCAAAAAGTAGGGACACACTGCTACTGCCCCCCAGCAAAGGGGAGGACAGCCTGAAATGTCAGGGCAGGGACTCAGCTCCTGTCTGCTGAGACAGATGTGGCCAGATGGTCACCTTTGTCAGAGCCCAGATAGGGAGGGTATTTCTATCTCCAAAAAGAGCAGATGAGCAGCTCCTGGGACAGTGCTGCTTCTGCCTGGCTGTTACAGGATGCATGTTACAGGAGCACTTTTGTGCTTATGATGCCAAAGATGCTTCGGTGCCAAAGAAATCCACTCTTGGCACTTGAGATACCTGAGTTTTGCTCTCGCTCTAATACCTGTGTTTGAGCTGCTCCTTATCAGATGAATTTACAAGTGCACCACACACCTTTGGCTCCAGCACAGCAGCTGAGCTCAAGCCCTGGCAGAGAGAGTTCCCCCAGCCGCAGGCAGGCGGAGCCCTTGGGTGCTGCACTCCCGCGTTTTAATACCTGACACGCTTCTCTCGGCAGGAGGAACAGCTGAGGTCTCATGAAAATAAAATGAAGCAGATTGCAGACGAATTAGCAGAGCATAAATTACATCCTGTAGAGAAGAGCCTCAAGTCAAAAGAGGCTGAGGAATACAGACTCAAAGAACATTACCTAATATTTGAGGTAAAGGAACTTTCATCTTTTCTGTGATAAATGGTACCTTGGCTGATTGAGGAGAACAGAACTCCAGAGTGGGTGCTGTGAGTCTGGGAGAGCGTGAAAGGAGAGAGAAGGACAAGGGCTCCCAAGCTGGATGGGTGTCTTGGGGCAGCAAAAGCCTCACTGCTTTGCACTGAAGGTGAAAAAAGAAATAAGAGCCATTTCCTTCCCTCTGTGATTTCTAACTAGAGGAGGGGAAACAGACAAGAGAAAGAAAGTCTTCCTTTACTGTGCCAAATTTTGACATTTCCTCAGGTCCCAAGTAAGAGAGTGGCTCAGTTCTCAGTGTGACTCAGTCTTTTTCAGCAACATTATTAAAAAGCAAAGGGAATCCCTGGGAGAACTAATCCTGTTTTGCTGCAACCATTTTTGTAAATAAATCCAAACCCAGTGTTAGAGCTGATTACAGACCCTTTGAGGATGTATGTAAATAAGTTTTAACTCCCTGAAAAGTCTAGGAAACATTTAGTTGTGGGAGAAATGGGCTATTTTTTTTTTTTCCAGTGAGAGTTGAGCAGAAGTTGTGGTTCCTGCCACATAGGTGTCAGTGGGAAGGGACTGCTGGGGGCCTCTAGTCTTGCTTCCAGCAGGAACTTGGATTATTCCTAGTCTTAGCCCAGGCTGAGTGTGCCATTTTAGTGCCCCAAAAATCACTAAAGATGGAAATATCCCACCTCCCTCATGCTAGGGCTGCACCTTCCTCTTGTGTAACGTCCAGCCTGATTCTCCAAAGCCACAGCTCCCAGCTGCTGGTTCTCCTGCCTTTGTATCAAACTTGCAAATAGTTGCTGCTGCCTCCCTTTTTCCAGCATCTGGTTTTGGATGCCTGCAGAGAAGTCTCTATCTGAGCTTTCCTCTGGACTGCCTTTTCAGTCTTCAAGGAGAAGCTGGCACTTCCAGGGCATAATTCATCTCATCTGTCTTATGAGATGTGCTCCAGAAATGCTTGGGTTTTTTGTGCTGACAAAGAAGCCAGCACAGGCTGCCTCTGAGATGTTAAGAGAAAGGATGGGTATTACACAAGTCCTCAAAAAGATCCCATCTAGCATTGGAACAAAGGATCCAGGCAGAGAGGATGCCCCCCTTTATGCTGTGCTCTGTGAGGAGCATTGGGGGCACAACTCAGCAGCAATAACTGAACCACTGGATGGAAACAATGACGAGCAGAAGTATTTTAACCAATCGAGGCGAGCTCCTAAATCAGGAAGCAGCATGTCTGTTGATCTCATTTTGCCCCCAGTATCCTCCTTATAAAATCACAGTGGCAGCCAAGACCTGTAAAAGCAACTGGAGAGTCCTACACACACCCACCCACACACCCACACACACCTTTCTCCTCAGACCTCCAAACAATCAGCCTTAGCACAGACCAGGCGTTGTGCTAGGTTAAATTTGTGGGGTGGGATTAGTGGGATGATGGTGGGACAGGGTGGGTTTTCCTGCAGTAGCTGATGGAGTTGTTTCTGCGTGCTGCACATACCATGGCCAGTCCCCGTTCCCAGGCTCTCTGTTCCCTCTTTCCCTGCAGAAGAGCCGCTATGAGACATACATCAACCTGCTGTGCATGAAGATAAAAGTGGGGACAGATGACCTGGAGAGGATTGAGACCAGTTTCTTCAAGGTGGAAGCCGAGGACATCGCTTTGAGGAAGACTCATTCCAGCCCTTCCTTGAGCCAGGGGCACATGTCCATCAGCTGTAAGGCAGAAAAGGACATTTTAGAGCAGAACACTTAACAAGGAACCTGTGCACGGGGGGATGAACCGGCGATGCTCTGCGCTCCTGGATTTAGATTGATGAGCACAATTTTACTTAGGAAATTGTATGAGCAAAACTGTAGACATGTATGACATGGGGATTGCTCTAGTGAAAGAAATCCAAGAAGCTTTAGTTGACACTCTCTGACAATGCTCTGGCATTTCAGCATCATCTCTTCTTCATTCCCAACTGCACCAGTGGCTTTTCTTTCCCTCCTGCTGCAGCCTGCACAACAAAGGGATATGCTGGTTCTTCAAGGGCTGGGTCGCTCTTTCCTCCACCAGCCCCCTCCTCCTTCCCTCCCTGGAGTCCCCAGCGGTTCATGGTCACAGTCCCTGGCAGTGCAGGACGTCTGTGGCACCACCAGCGCTCCCAGAGAAGGGCACAGGGTGGCAGGGGCACGTCCCTGCCCCAAGAGGAGCACGGTGTGACAGGACAGGGTCGTGAGCTGGTCACCGACCGGGCGAGAGGCGTTTTCAGCACAGCAGCGTGGGAGCATCACCCGCCCACGGCAGGAGAAGCCTGAAGGTCCCTCTGCCTCCTTATCCTTTTTATATATATATATATATACATATGAATATATATAAATAAATATATATATATAAGGAAACTTTAACGTGGGTTTTTAACCTCAGTGTGCAAGTGAAGGCAAGCTGCCTGGGGAAGACACCAGGGACGTGGAGGGTCTGACCAGCCCACCAGGATGTTCTGAAAAAAATTGAGTAGCTGTGTATCTTTTTTCTTTTTTCTTTTTCTCCTTTTTTTTTTTTTACTCGAATGGAAATCCCACCTGGCTTTGCTGTGGAACATCGCTCTCCCATTCCTGCTTATTCAGACAAACTGCCCAAGTGGCTGCTAGTTTGGGATCCACCACTCTGGGTTCGAGGCACAGCTGGAGCCGTGTGCCAGCTCCAGCAGAACCTTTGTGTGCAGGAGTGATCCCGCCTGCCCGTCCCTGCTGTATTCCTCCATCCTGTGATGCACATGCTGTACTCTTTTCAGTGGGAATTGTGTTTCTGTTCCTTTCTGCTGTCTGTGGTCCAATGATTTACTGTTGTGCTGAAGTGATTCCTCTGCATTTCAATGCCACGACTGTCCTCCCACACTTTATTTATTTCACTGTTTTGTTTGATCCTTTATCTCAGATTGCTTTTCTTTCCCCTAGGTGCGTTCACAGTAATCAAGTTCCAGTTTTGAAGGATCTTGTAGCTGCTAATTACAGTCATTTATTGTTTATATTTTGCAGCACTTTTTAAACAAACAAAATAAGATTTATTTGGACCTTCAATGTTTGAGAGCCTATGGACTACTGTTTTCCATGATGGTTCATGACACTAAAAACCTCTTCCCAACTTTATCGCCTCTTCTTTTATCTCTGTTTCTTTGTACAGTTTGATAGTTTATTTGAAATGATGCACTAAGAATCATGTAAAAAAAAGAATAACAATAAAACCGAATCTGTTGGTAAAGAGAATTGGTCTGAAGCATCGTTCCACTATGTGCTGGATTGATCCCAGATTTCACAGCACCAGAAGGCCAGGCTGATTCAGATATCCCCCAGCATCTGATGCAGAAAAGCCAGGATCCTTTGGACAGACAGCACCAAAAACATCAATTCCTTTCCACAAGTGGGTACCAGCCCACCCATCCTCTTGGATGGTTCTGGAGCAGTGTGGATAGATGGGCTGCTTTGGGAACACATTCAAATAACTCTTCCCTCCCTCTGGTGCACCCCAGATGTGTCTGTCCACATTCAGCCTGGAGATTTATGGGAGCAGAAAGGTGCCAAGCCCTGCTTTAGTGACTGGAGATGTTCTCACAGCAGTTCCCAGAGGAGTCTGTGGCTGTTTCTCCAAGGCATCACTGCTTTCCTGTCAGGTGTTGTACAGACATTCCTTGCACCCAACACCTCCAAGATGTCACGTGAAGTGTCTGGTGCTGAGACTCTCACAGTGGAAGTCCAGGGGAAAGCTGGGCCTTGCCTCCAAAATGCCAGGTAATATTTTGTACCTCAGTCTTCCCTTTCTGAGCATCTCTTCCAGCGGGCAGTGACATCTCCAGTGTGCTTGAGCTCCACCAAGAGCAGCTCAGCCCCCTGGCTGAAGGTGCCAGTCTGCCATCCTCAGCTGGGAGTAACTTGCAGAGGAAAGCAAGATCTTGCAAAATCTCCTCTGGGCAGCAGGGAAAAGATTCAGAGTTGTGAGAGTGAATACCCAATGGATGTGGGAAGAGGTGGCAGCTGATGTCAGACAACACTTGGAAAGACAGCTCAGAGTCTTAAACTTGCTCTTACTGAGTACCTGCAGCTTGCCTCGTGCACAAGTCCTGATCCAGGTGCACAAGTCCTGATCCAGGTGCACAGGCATGTAAAAATGTGTTGAGAACATCTTACCATGAGGGCAGAGCCAAAAATGCCTTGTTTGACCAATCCACAGCCTCAGCTTGTGACTTGGAAGAAATGGGTTTTTTCATGCACTTCCTCCATCCCTGGAGGTCAAGGACTCAGCCACCCACCACTGAGAGAGAAGAGCAGCATCTCAGAGGAATTAGGCAGCCACATCCTTTTCTCCTCCTGGAGTTACTCAAATGCACTTTCTGCACATCCCCAGCCTGTGCCAGCCCCTCCAGCAGGCACCACGACTGCTTCAAGTCTCACAAAACCTCGTCTGGAAGTGCTGGTTCAGCCTGACCTCCCTGCCAGGCCACTTGTCCTGGATACAACCACATTCATTTTAGAGGGACTTCTTTGTGGGGGAGACTTTGTGACCCCTCAAAGCCAGGATCCAACACTCCTCTCCTGCTTGTGTCACTGATCTGTGTCACCAGAGCAGCTCCTTCCCCTCTGGGAAGGGCATTAAAGGCACCAGAGATACAGAGTAGAGCTGTCAAGAGGCTTTGGTGGCTCCCCCACCTGTGAAAATTGCTGTAAAATATTTACGGCAGAACCCTAGGAGCACACACGGCTGGAAATGAGGAGTCTAAAAATAAACCAGCCAGGGAAAAAAGAGAGAGATACAGGCTTCCTTCAGAGGCAATTGGAAAGAAAATTGAAGTAGCGTAACTGCCTCTAAATATAGAACACAATTATGGGAATCAAGGGGCTCAAAAAAAATCATCACGCAGTATCCTGAGGCTGCCATGGCTCAGAGCTAGTGGTATCTCAGCAGATGCAGAACATCACAGATCCCTGCAAACCATGGAGCAGGGAAATATCCCCCTGTGCAGGGCAAACCCACAGCTCCTCTCCAAGGGACCCAGAGAGATTCCTGCTGGGGATCAGCTGCACCTTCTTGTAATGCAGATGCTGCTGTGCCAGCCTTGGGGGAATTTCTCCGTGAGTGGAGCTCACAGATCTTGAGGAGAGCTGGGCAGGGAGATGGGGCTGCTTTGGGAAGCCAAAGGCACCCCACCTCTCTCTTCCATGTGTCTGGTTTCCCCAGGGATCAACCTTGGTGAAGGGGACCAGGTGTTCTCTGCCCATTCCTGTTCATCTCACCTTGCTCTGGGAGCCACTGGAGGAGCTGAGATGGATCAAAGGCAATGGGAGCTGGGGCATGTCCCAAGAATAATGGGAGAGTGGAGAGAGCTGCACTGCTGCCTTCATCCAGCAAGGCTTGGGGCTGCACAGAGTGGGGCACGATGTGTCCAAAGGCAAATGTCACCCAGATCAGGACTTGACCCTACCACCTTTATCCCCAGGTCTACTCCCCTAACAGCTCCTTTGCACATTGCTCTTGGGTGGCAGGGGCCCCACTGCAGGAGGGCTGGATCCTTCAGCCTTTAACCTTCTGGGAAATCAGTGTTGAGATGCTTTCATCCAGGGGCATGGAGTGCTGAGCCCTCTGGTCTGTCTGGAGGCCCCACAGGACATGCAATGAATGTTTGGGGTGGCCTGTGACCCAGCTGGGTCAGCTCCAGGGCAATGGGCATCCTGGTTGGGGTTGGAGCAGAAGAGGCCCAGGCTGTGGGTGTGCTAAGCCTGGCTTCCAGCATGGGCAGCACTGTGAGTTCTCTCTCACTGGGGAGCTCTCTCACAGCTCTGGGTATTCATAGAATCATAGAATGATTTGGGTTGGAAGGGACATCAAAAATCATCTGGTTCCAACCAGCTCAGTTAGTTCCAACCTGTCCATTTCAATAGGGTTGACTCACTGTAACTGAGTCAAGTAAGTTAAGTGAGTTCAGCTTTTTGGAACTTTTGGATACCTGTTCATGTTACTGAGCAGGAACAGGGGAGTGAGTTCTGAGCTGGATGGAGCCATGGGTGTCACCTCAGGGACTGTGCTCCTGTGACCACACCACACTGTCAGTGAGCCCTGCATGGGGACAGCCAGAGACACAGATTTCCCATGGGGGAGCTGAACCAGGACCTGTTTTTGTGGGTGGGTCAGTGCTGCATGGCACAGACCCAACACAACTCCACTCTCCAGAAGTCACTGAAATAGGTGCCAGGTAATAACATCCCAAACATCCTGACCTCTCTTGGCACAACTGGAAACTTCCATGGCTCAAGTGAAGGGGGATCTCCTGATCTGCAGTTGGAGGAGGAATGGCATCCCCTAGGAGATGTGTGGGTAGCATTCACTCACCTCAGTGAGCCTCCACTCCTGAGCCCTGCAAGGAAGGTCAAATGTCCATGCCAGGTAGAAAAACACCCACCTATGGGTCTTTATGGGCATAAAGATCTTCATGGAACCAGAGCATTCTCATATGAGGAAAGGATGAGGGAGCTGGAACTGTCCAGCCTAGAGAGGAGAAGGCTCAGGGGTGCCTTATCCATGTGTACAAATACCCAATGGATGGCAGTGAAAAACAGGGAGCTGGACTCTTCTCAGCAGTGTTCAGGACATGAGTCAATGGGCCTAAAATAGCAAATGAGGCAAAGGGCCCAAATTAAAAATTAGTAAATCCAGTCAATACAAGAAGACAAATTTTTGCTTTGAGAGGGACCAAACACTGGCAGAGGTTCCCCAAAGAAGTTGTGGCATTGCCATCCCTGAAGATGCTCAAAGCCTGACTGGGCACAGGCCTGGGCAGCTGACTCTAGGTGAGCTGGTGGAGCAGGAAACATGGAAAAAGTCTCTTCCAGCCTCAACCAGTCTGTGATTCTGTGTATGGTGCCTGTCACAGCTCCCCACTTGCCCCAAAAAGGGCCTGAGATTAATGCAGCCCACAGATTGTTATTTCTTATTTTATTTATAATATAAAAAATGTTCAAGTGTTAAACAGTCAAGAGTTCTGACATTCAGACAATCCAGAGCAAACTTTGACAATCATCTTATGACAAATTAGCAGAGTTTTTTTCTATCTGACCCCATCATGGGTGAGGAATAGAGGGTTTAGTTACTTTATTGCTAAAAGTTAAATGAAATAATACACTGTCAATTGTTGTATTATCTTCTCAGTCACAGCTTCACCATGCATCCAATCTACAGTATCTGAAATGCAAAGGACATGCAGAAGTAAAAATATAAAAAGAAAAAAGTCAGGCTACAATGTAAACAGGTTTGCTGCAGAGAACTGAGGAGAGGGGGCACTTCCACGGGGGATGCTCTGCCGCCTGGACACGCAGGACTGTCTCTTTGCGCCACAGAGCCGATGGCCAGAGCTGCTCCGGGTTTGGGGACGCGACGTCCGTCATCGGTGGCAGGACGTGACGGTGACAACGCGTGTCTTTACAACACGTGGCACGGCCGTACGGGAGAATCCGCTCGCTGGGCTGCCCCACGCGGGGCCCTGCCCGCCCAAGGCAGGGGCGACAAGCGGAGGGGTCCAAGTGGCCCCTGGGGGTCCAAGTGGCCCCCGGGCAGCATGGCCTGGCTCCGTGTCCAGGGTGACACGCGGCCATGCGTGCCACGGGACCACCCTGTGGGTGTCCCCCGGCACCCCGGCCAAGGGTGTCACTCGGGACAGCTCCGGCGCCGCTGCCAACGCCGCTCAGCCGAGGGGACGTCGCGGCCAGCACGGCCGTGGGGCGGCCACGTGGCCACGGGCACCGCGGCTGAACGGAGCCACCGCCGCGCAGGGCCAGGCCCGGGCTGGCTCAGCGACCCGGATTCAAGGGTACGTGACAGGTGTGACCCACCGTGGTCACGGCGGTGTCTGCCTGGCTTCACTACAAACCTGTGCCAAGCCCACTCCAGACCCACCGGTGAGATGGCCAAAGGTTGAGAGCTATATTGTAAGGGCTGCTGCTGCTGCTGCGTGATTTCATTTTCTCTTCCTACCTGTGTGGCAAAAGAAACGTTATTTCTGCATTTCAGCACAGTGCTGTTGGGTTTCTTTTCCTCCTGATTTAAGCGAAAATACAAGTAGTTTACAGGGCAAGACAGATCCTCGTTAGACATGATAATGGAAATGCTCCCACTCATGTCCTTAATGTGTGTTTAAACGATACTTTAAAGAATAAGATCATTAATAGCAGGGTACGGGGCAAAGTGGCAAGGCTGTTTTCTTCCAACAGAAGAGCGCCCTTGTGACAGGTTTTCTCCCAAACAAAAATCTATGACCTTAAAAATGCTACTGAAACAGAATCCTCGGCATGAATCCCAGCACTAGCATACAGCAAAAGGCACCACGATAGTTTTGTTTTCTATTTTTAAGTAGTCAAAAATTGGCCCACTTTTTTTTTTAACTTTATTGTTAGTTTTCTTTTCTTCTTCTTTTTTTTTTTTTTTTTTTTTTTTTTTAACTTTTTTTTCTCGGAAGCTGTAAATCAAGACATTACATATAAATAGAGATTCCCTATAAAAAAGTCATTGTCGTTAGCTATTATAAGACAACTTCGCTAAAATGAAAATAAAACATTTTTATTCGTTATATTTTTTGGTTTTTTTTTTCCCCCTCTTTTATATAAAATAAAAATATTTATTTTTTTTTGTTCTGTTTTGTTTGTTTCGTTCCGGGTTTTTTTGTTTTGTTTTGTTTTGTTTTTTTGTGGTTTTGCGTGGTTTGTTTGTTTTTTTGTTGTTTTTTTTTTCCCGCCTCGCCTCGGCCTCCTCCACGTGGTTCACGGCGGGAGAGGCGCCTAGAGAGGGTCGGGGTCCGCTTTGGGCGCCACGTGCGCCAGGCTGCCGCGGCCGCCCTCGTGCGCGCCGTGCCCGCGGCACGAGTAGTGAGTCCGGCTGTCGCCCGGCCGGTGCAGCGGCGGCGACTCCGTGTGCGCCGCCTCATTGTTCTGAGTGCTTAGGAACGGGGTGCTCTCGGCCACCAGCTCCTCGTCAGACTCGCTGTAAGAGGCGCTGCTCAAGGAGAAGGAGTCCCGGACGGCTCTGGCTCTGTGAGGGATGTGCCCGTTCAGTTTGGATTTTTTCCACCGCCTGTTGCTGCTGGCTGTTTTCTTTGGCTGCTCTAGCGCTGTGACGTACTCCTGCGTCGTCTCGTACTCGTCGTCCTCTGTGATGCGGAAGGGGCTGGAGGGCAGGCTCCCCATGCTGTCGTTTAGGTAGGTCTTCCTTTGGTAGTAGCTGTCGTACCTCTGCGTGTCCTGGAAGGGCAGCTGGTACCGCCGCAGGAGGGGCTGCTGCTCCTCCACGCGGAAGCTGATGGGGGCCGCCGGCGGCAGGGACACGGCGTGCGCCGAGTTCGGGGAGGTGATCTCGAAGGTGGGCACCTGCGTGGTCATCGAGTAGTGGAAGTCAACGGGCGACAGGCGTGCTGGTGTGGTCAGGGCCGACACGTACCTGGAAAAGCAACAGCACTGTTTGGACACCGAGCAACCCCGAAAAGCACCAGCTGAGCCCGCGCTTTGCTGAGCACCAGGATGCCCAGGGACCCATGAGGCCTCTGGTGAACCAGCTCGTGGAGGTTCTCCTGGGGAATCGGCTGGAGGGATTTTGCCAAGGGAGGGTGAGCTGCTGGCTTCAATGGGCAGCATGTGCTGAGCATCCCCCAAACTGCTTCTCCCGAGGAACCCGGCGCACAATTCCCACTCTGCATCGCTGCAAACCCTGCAGCATCTCCCAGCAGGCTGAGTCACAGCTTCACTGCCTGTCATCTGCCTGACAGCTGCTTTCTGTTCCCTCTGGAGCTGCCAGGCTTGTCTCTGAGGAAGGTCCCTGGAATTCCCTCTCTCTGCTCCGGCCACAGATGGGGAAACCCTGGGCATTGCTTTCTCTGACTTAGCACAAATCTTGTGTCTCAAAAAGCCATCTACCACTTCTACCACATCTACTCTGGTGACAACATCAATGTGGTCACTCAGCTCTGGTCTAGCCCCACTCCAAACAGCCCTTCCTTCAGCATCCCCTCTTTCTAAGGAGCAGATCTTATTTCCTCTAAATATTCCCAATGGTGTCTCTGCCCAATTCCACCAGCCCAGGTTCTCTCACTTGTCCAGGGCCTTTTTTCCCATGTGCTTTGTGATGTATGAGATCCCCATAGGAGCTGGGTCAGTTTGCCTGAATGGACCAGGGATAGGAATGAGAGCAGGAGATGCTGCCTTTCTCCTCTGCCCCATGGACAAGTTCCACCACCTTGAAGGGTAGCTGCCCAAGAGGGGCCATGTGGCTACCAAGAGTCACTCCTGGCTACCTGCAAAGGGCTGGAGCAAGGGTGGAGATGTGCTTCTGCTTCACGAGGAACCAGAGTGGGAAGAAGACAACTGTTACTGCTGCTGCTGGTGTCTCAGCTCTGCAGCTGTGTTCCTTGAAGGCTGGGTCATACCGAGTCCTGTCCCAAGGCTGTGCCCACATGCAGCACCCTCTCACCTGGCCATCCAGGACTGTGCTGAGGACAGGCACCTTTCCCCCAAGTATCTGAGGCCCAGACTCTGTTTGGCAGCCCAACAAGCTGCTCAGGGTGTTCTCCCAGCCAGTTTTTCTCTACCACTTGCTGACTGCAGCCAGGTATATTCTGCTCCTGCCATCCCTGTGCTCCAAACATACATTGCCTCCTGGGGGAATTGGCTCCCTCTGGCAGGACCGGGGCTGGAGTTTCCCCAGTTCCACCACGGCAAAGGCAAACGTTTTTGGGCTTGGCACAGAGGCATGGCTTGCTGGGGTGGCACCAAGCAGCAGGGTCTGACCTCTCGCTGTGGGGCGAGTCCCGCAGGGAATCCACGGAGTCGCGGTACTGCGTCGTGGGCCTCCGCTGGTCCTCGATGCAGAAGGTGGCCCCGCGGCGAGCCCGCGCCTCCACGCACGCAGGGCTGTTGCATTTGCTGGTTCCCACCGAGGACAGCATTATCCCAGACTGGGAATCTGAAGTCAGGCTCTCTGTTCGCTCCAAGCTCCAGGTGTGGCTTTCATGTCTGTGGAGCAAAGCCCATGTGGACAGTGAGCAATGAATCCCCACCCAGCTCTTCTCCAAAGACACAGGCACTGCTCATGCTGGGCTCTGCACCTCTGCACTGGTGTCCCCCCTTTCTCTCTCTCTCTCTCTCTCATTAGGATACATCTGGCCAGGGATGTTCGGATTCCCAACCCTACCTTTGACTTGCCTTTCTTTGCTCCTTCTTGGAGATGCCATTAGAGGACAAAGAAAGTAAACCAGTGCAATAGCAGGTATTTATCCCACCACAGAATAAATATGGCTGGGAGCAGGATGGGACAGCCTCTGGAGAGAGGCCAGGGTAATTCTGCTTTGTGCTTGCCGAGTGTTCTGGGTGTGGAACAACACACTGGCTATGCCAAGGCAAGTCAGCCAAGTTCCTTCAAATGTGCCACCTGCACTGCCAAGTGACAGCCCCTTTGGAATCACTACCAGAGAGGAGCCAGGAGAAGCCACTCAAAATTAGCAGAGCAAAGTCTACCAGAGATTTTGGCAGCAAAACCCTTTCAAGGTGCTAAAGATCATGATGTGCTGAGCAGCTGGAGCCCCACCAGCCCCAGTCTTGGTGCAAGGAGGACATCCCACAAGGACTCACCAGGGATGCACAGGGCACACTGGAGTCCCACCGGTGCCACAGCCACCACGCTAACCCCCACCATTGCAAAAATCCTTGAGAGCAACCCCTCTGAAGTCCCAAACTGCACCAGATGGAGCAGTGTGGGTGGAGGATTTTGGGTGGGCGTTTACAGAGGAGAGCAGCCCTCATTAAGATTTCCCAAGAACTTGTTAATTATTGATGGCTCCAGGCACATGCTCATTTATAACTTCAAACAGCGTCCTCATTAGAGGCGCTGATGGAGTAAAATGGAGCCTGATTATGCCAGTAGTTTGCCTCTGGCATGACTTCAAGAAGCACCTGCTTGCTGCACTTGACTCAGGAAAATGAGGTGGCAGGTAGCCAGGACCAGAGGCTACCCAAGGTAGGTTCCTCCCTACAGCTGTCATGAGCTAATGCTGCCCTCCAGGCACACCTTTGTGTCTTCAGAAGGTGCCCAGGGTTGGCCCAAGCCCTTGAAGTGAGCATGGAAGGCCAGTAAGGTGCAGCTCTGCAGGCACAGGAGCCACTGTGCACCTGGCTCAAGCTTGCACGCACCTAGCCAGGGCTGGGCTGAAGAGTATGAATGAAAAAAAAACCTGGCAAATGTACCATCTAGCTCATGAAGAGTGGGATGTCCCTGGAAAAAAGAGTCATTCCCAGCCCATCAAGTCATTCCTGGCTCCCTCTCTACTTGCTGGAGGTATAGCCAGAAGAATCTGGGGAGGAATTCACCTGAAAATCCAAGTTCAACATGTGAAGTTGATCTTGCCCATTGTAACTGAGAGTACTGCTCAACCCTGAGGAATGCCTGGACCCTAAGGAAGCCTGCCTGGAGCCATCTGTGAGCTTCAGATGAAATCCAGCTGTATTCCTGGATGAATGGAGACAACCCCATCAGGCTAATGAAGGGCATGAGCCAGCCACATATCAAAGACAAGTGATTTCCAAGGAAAACCCCTGCCACTTACTGGAAGAAGCACAAGAGCTGTCTAAGAGGAGGAACTGGAACTCAAACTCAAAATAGCTCAGGATTTTCTTTAGAGCATTTGAAAGACTTTTCATAAATACATCATAAATACAGGGAGGTCCATCTGCATTTTAAATGTTCTCAAAAACCTTGAGAAGACTCAGGTTTCAAACCGTGGTGTTCTTCCCCCAGTGGTTATTTTGAAATGAAAACAAAAAGTGTGTCTCATCCTCTGTCCCAAAACATTATTGGTACTTTCCTGCTAGACAAAGTTTTCCAAAAAGTTTCAGAATTACTTCCAGTGAAAGAGGAGCCACCACCTGAGGCTGAGGTTGATAAATTTCACAGGAGTATTTTCCTTCTGGTCAAAACCTGTGACTTCCAGGTCAGACCTTGACTCTGAGGAACAAATCAAAACATTTGGTGATATTTTGTGTACTTAGTCTCCCACAAGGCAGATACATTCTAAATATGAAACACATAACCTGTGTGTGCTTAATGAAGTATTTCAGATGTCCAGTGTGGCTGCAAACAAAACCTTTCCTACACACATCCTCCCATCTGGGTCTGTGCAAAGCATGGAAGCACAGGTTCATTTCCTCCTGTTTTCCAGCTATGTCAGTGCTGCAGGATCCTGCTGGCACCTCCCTGCAGGTGAAGGAACAACTTTTCCACACCTCTCACTAACCAGCTGTGCCTGCAAAGTCCTGCAGTGTAGACATGGCCTGTATGCCACTGCAGAGCCAAACATCAAGTGAAAACAGAAAATCCTAGAATCTCACAGCATCCTATGGCAAATAGCAGGAGAAAGGTCCAGAGAGAATGGTGTACATCACCTCTGGCTGGACGTTGGAGTGGCTGTGGAGCAGTGATGAGATGGGGAGCAGGAGTGACTTCCTGAAAAGGTTGTCTCTGTTTCCCTTCGGATCACGTGCTCGGTGGCAGAAACGTTCTTAGAAATATACTGCAAGATAGAAGAATCACACAGATCAGCCACCAGCCTGTGAATGCTGCAAAAGAATATTCAACTGGCCTGATTATTTCTGGTGAAATCAGGTGAGGACTGAGTGAACCCAGAAGCTCCCCATACCACGGGAAGGGACAAGGAGGGTGGAGGCTTTTCTCTGCCCCTTCACAGGGATTGCAGAAGAGATTGGAGTGCCAAGGGATTCCCCAGAGGACAGTGGTACCATGTGTAGCTACTGAGCAGAGACACATCTCTGCCCACAGCTGGTTACACCCGACTGAGTACCAGCAAAAAGAGAAATCTGTCAGAGATGTGAGTCCTACAGAAACACCAGTTGTGATCCAAATATTTATGCTGAGGTATTTCTCCATCTAACAACCAGCCCTGCTTCTCACAGGGGCATTAAGCTCCATGAGAGTCAGTACTGTGTGGGGCTGTGGTTCTTAGAATTCCCTTTCCCCCTTCCCTTATGGTTGGGATCCAACCTAGCTAAATTTTAATATCCTAAGGCTGACCCAACAGAGCTTGCAGCTGATTCATTGGACTCATTTCTAACAGTACTTCTTGTTTGGCTCTGCCTCCCCTTTCCCTTTTTCTGACCCCTTTCAAGGCCTTGGATCACCAAGGAACTGAAGCCCATTGATGGCCCTGTTGAGTTCACGGGGTTTGATGGGAACCTTGCACGACTGAAGTCACGAGAGTGACTGAACTGCCCTCGGGATCCTGTCCTAAAGACACTTAGATTGGTCTCATTGGTGTGACAGTGGCATCCCACCAGGACTTGCCCCCTTGACCAGAACAGAAGCCCAGGCATGGGCAGGTGGGCTGATGGACAGCTGACCACATCACCCTGACGTGCCTCACCACGGTGGCTCCGGCCACTGCCACGCTGACCCCATCTGTCATCCCGCAAAGTGGGACCTGACAGGATAGATAATAAACAGGAAACATTGGGAACATCTCTCCTAGTGGAAATCAGGGTCACACTTGATTAATCAAAACAAATTGGCTATCTCAAATGCCTGAATCTCATCCTGCACTTCAAAGCAAAATCACATTTCCCTTCAGATGTCGGTTTTTGGAAATGTTTCTACGCAGAATCTTTCTTTTTGCTCAAGTTTGTTTGTGCTTTGCTCCTCACACACAAGCACACAGGTGTGTGAGGATACACATCCACGTCAATCCCCTGGCAGAAAACAGCCCCTCAGCAGCACGCAGGGACATGGAGGCAAAGGATCTTACATCAGCCATTTGGATTTCCTCAGGATCCAAACGTGGATGGCTTGGCCCGTTCGCAAGGCTCCGGTTCTGATGAGCTGGACACATGTTCTGCCGCAAGTGGTTATGCATTTGTTTTCTTTGTTTCCTTTAGAATAGAAAAAAATCTATTAGGAACACTTCTCTCTGCCCCCAGAGGTGAAAGAGAAGGCAAGTCTTGGACACGTGAATGTTCCAGCGGTGTTTGCAGAAAGTTGCAAACAACACGAAACCAGGCATTCAACACTTAACACCTCCTACTGCTTTTCCAAACAAAAGGTCAACTTTTCTTCTCGTGGACAATTTGGGAAGCTGGGTCCAGGGTCCCCTTTCCAAGACAAGGCCCAGCACAATGTAGCAGAGCCAGCTGGCAGTGGAGGAGAAAAGTGGGGAGAAGGAAAGGGGAAGCGAGTCCTGACTTGGCCTTGGTGACAAAGCACTTGACCTGTCCTGCAAGAAGGACCAAGTGGCAAAGCCATGGTGGGACATCTGCTCCACAAGACCCACTGAGTCCCAGAGGCACCCTGAACGGAGGTGCAGGCTGAGTTGGGAGAAAAGTGCTGTCCAGGCAGGGAGGGCTGACCACAAAAGAGGTTCCCAAGTCTCCTGTTCCATTAGGATTGCTCTGAAAGTCCCTACAATGTGCATAGCTGAGCCCACAGCTCCTGCACAACTGCCCAGTGTGCTTCTGCTGGCAGAAGCTGAGCTGCTGGCTTGGGGGCCAGCTTTTCCCTGTAACACAGCATCACCTGGCTGGGCAAAACGATGCTGTTCCAGGGCAACAAGCAAATGGTGCCAGGAAAACATCCTATTCCAAGTCTGGTACACAGCTTCACTGGCCTCCTGCATGAGACCTTCCTGGGAGTACTACAGCACATCATCTCCTAAAAACAGCATCTGGGTGAAAAGCATGGAAGTGTGGAACACGAGCACTGCCCCTCACTAACCTGTGGCCAGTTCTTGCCTCTCAGCCCCCCATACTCACTTGGTTTTACAGTAAGCTACCACACAGACGATGCCCACCACAAGCAAGGCAACACAGATTCCCGTGATGGTCAAAACCCTCTTCTGGTAGAGCTCCTCTGCTTCTGCAAAGGGAGAGAAAGGAACCAGTTACTGATGGGCTCCAGCAGCAGGGCTGTGTCTGGCTGCACAGGAACCAGCACTGCATGGGGGTGACACGGAGGACAGGGCTCGGGCAGACCTCCTACCAATGCCCTGCCTGCCTGTGGCTGCCCCACGCCTGAGCCCAGCTGGCCCAGCCTTCCTCACCCCTCTAAAGACTCTTTTTGTCTCCCTGCACCTTTGCCCTCTCTCACTCACCCCTTCTGCACTCACACTTCTCACCTTCCCTTCTTTTCCCACAGTGACTCATCTCAAAAAGCCCCACGACTCTCCTCTCCCTTCCAGCAGATGCCCCCTTTCTGGTGCCTAAATCACCTAGCCCTGGAGCATGCCCCACTCCCCACGAGCACACACGCCCTGTATCCCTGATCCCAGGCTCTGCTCTGCCCGGCTCAGGATGCCCCTGCCAGCACCCGCATGCCCTGGAGCAGGGTGGTGTGGGAGAACCACCCAGCAACAAGCCCCACAGCATGTCGGTGCTGAAAGGGACATCCTGGAACAGTCAAAAAGCAGCATGAGGATGGAAAAGTGATAGCGTGTCAGGCAAAGAAAAGGGAGTGGAGTGATTGAAATACAGGAACCAGCTATGGATTTTTAATGAAACCCTAGGATTCACACCATTGCACCAGGTAGCTCAGAGGCACACACCAAATGCGAGCAGCTTGCTGCTGCCTCTCTCAAATCCCACCAAGTGTCACGGGCTGCCTTTCAAACCCCCAGAGCCAGTCCCTTGCATCAAAACCCAGACCATGCTGGAAGTGAGGGGACTCATTCCCATCAACCAAAGCTCCCGGGAAATGCTTGGATCTCGTTGGCACTGCACCTAGGCAGCAACAGCATGGCAAGGACACCTCTTCCTCCGTGGCTACCCCAGAGCAGATGTGACATCCAGCAACCTCCAGCAAGAGGCAATTTGGGTCTCCAGCTGGATGACTGAGAGAAGGATTCAGTGCAGAGCTGCCACGAGTGTTTCAGTTCAGCAGCTATGAACAAAGTCCTCATGCCCTCACTCTGTGTGTTACTGTTGAAGTTATTGGGGTTTGTGCCTTCTTTAATATTAATTGAATTTTTTTTCCCCCATCTAAATTAGGCAATAAAAGCCATGCCATGCTCAGTGTGCTTCACCACACCACTCAATGACCTTGAACAGACCATGTGATACCTCCTGTGCCACCAAACACTCAAATACAAAACCAGAAGAGAAACAGGTCTGGTCCCAAAAAGCCTTGGGACTAGACTTTAGCAAAAAAAAAAGAAAAAAAAAAAAGTGACTGGGAAGCAATGAAACATTCCAGACAACTGGATATTTAGAACACTTTCAGCTTGCCATTCTAGGTTGAAAAAAGCATTTTTGGAGGAAGAAAAAAAAAAAGGTGCTAGGAAAAATGGTTACCTCTTTCTAAACTCTCAAAATGGAAATGGAGAAAGGTTTGGTAAACAAGGGCTGGCAAGAAAGACAACCCTGGCATGAAAATGTGAAATATAATAAACAAAGCTTCCTTGTGGGTTTTTTTTCCCCTACCAGGAACCAGGTTGAGCTGGAATGAGGGAAGAGCCCACTCTGGGGTGAAACTCCTCCTTCAATGACATGTTTGTTTTGTATGGTGCATCAGCAACCATGACAGACACGTTTTGCTGCTCTTGCACATCCTTGGGACCTGGATTACAGTTTGTACAGCTCTCTCCTTTAGACAGGAGTTTCACAGATTTTATACAAAATTAGGAGAAACCAGCTGGGATCACATCCTGGTTA